GCTCCCCGCGCAGCCGGCACGGCTCCGGCTCCTACGGTCCTGAGCCCCCCGAGGCGAGGTCCGCGTCCCAGCTGGAGCCAGACCGCCGGTCCCTGCCCCGGACGCCGTCGGCCGGTGAGTACCCCGGGTTGGGCTGCAGCAGGAGGGATGGAGGGCAGACTCCTGGGAGGACTTCCCGCTCATGCTCCGCTGCGCTCTCCGCCCCGCAGCCTCGCTCTACACCAGCAGCTCCCAGCGCTCGCGCTCCAACTCTTTCGGCGAGCGCCCGGGAGGCGGCGGCAGCAGCGGGGGTGCCAAGAGAGTCCGTGCCCTGGTCTCCCACTCCGAGGGCGCCAACCACACGCTGCTGCGCTTCTCGGCCGGAGACGTGGTGGAGGTGCTAGTGCCCGAGGCCCAGAACGGCTGGCTCTACGGCAAGCTGGAGGGCTCCTCCGCGTGAGTGGGAGCAGGGGGCAGCGCGCAGGGCGCGGGGCCTGGAGGAGAGCTGGGTTGGTCGCCAGAAAGGGAGTGTGGAGGGACCCGGTGTCCGCAGGAGAAAAGGGGAAGTTGGGGGCCTGCTGGACCAAGCAGTGCGGCCCAAGGGACTTTGTGGCAGGACAAACTAGGTGCCCACTCCCACCATGGAGGAGGAGCAGGGCCTGAGTGGACAGGTGCTCTGGTGGCCGCTGTGGCCCCAGTCCATGGGAAGATGAGTCAGGCTGGGGATGGCCACAGGCAGATGGAGGGCTGGAGGGACGGAGGGACGGAGGGCTGGAGGGACTGAGGGATGGAGGGCTCGGTGGGGGGGGCGGTGGGTGGCAGGGGGGTGGGGGACTGCTGAGTGGGTGGGGGACCTGGGCCAGCAGGTGCTCTGGTGGATGCGCAGTAAGTGGCCAGTGGGAAGCCGCCCAGGTGGATTGTGGGTCAAGATGTGAGTGAAGTGCAAGGTCGGGGCTGGGCAGGTGACGGGGACTGAGGCCTGAGACTGTGGGTGGAGGCCGCCCTCCAGTGCCCGCAGCCGCCCCTGCCCGGGCCTGACACTCCCCTGCTGGCCCAGGGCTGCTCCCTCTGTGGGAGGGTGACAGGAGGGGTCATCTTAGGCACATCCCTGAAAACAGGCGGGGGGCTAGCCAACGGCTGTGTCCGTGCCTGGGGGCCTCGCGGCCCGGGGACATGCTGTGATTGGCTCCTGGGGACATTTCCTGGGTGTTTTGAAGAGTGATCAGGCCGGGATCTGCCACGGTGTCCCTCCTGCAGGCCCAGCTGCTCTAGAGGGGCGCCCGGGTGGGGGTGGTCGGCGCTGGGGGGCAGCCGTCCTGGGGTCCCCGGGGCCTGCTCAGGGCCCCTGGCCTCTGCCCTGCAGGAGCGGCTGGTTCCCCGAGGCCTACGTGAAGCCTTTGGAGCAGGTGCCCGGGAGCCCCCTGAGCCCCGCGAGCCCCGTGACCTCCGTGAACCCCGCAAACGAGCTACCTTCCAGGTACCTTCCTGGGGTGGGCCTGTGCCGCGGCAAGGGGAGGCGGAGCGCCACACCCTGGGCACATGGAAGGTCATTGTGTCCATCCCCCTGCCTCCCTGCAGGCGCTCCCTTGCGCTGACTCCCTCTCACCCAGGTCCAGAGAAAGAAGCTGGAGGATGCTCAGGGGACCAGCAGATGGGGTGGGGACACCAGGGACGGCCCCTGAACCCCCCCCCCTTTCTCTGGACTCAGGTCCTACCCGCTCCGGGGCACCCACAGCCTTGATGACCTCCTGGACCGGCCAGGCAACCCCGCAGCGTCCTCCGAGTACTGGGACGGCCAGTCTCGGCCCCGCACCCCAAGCGGGGCCCCAAGCCGCGTCCCTAGCCCTGCGCCTGCACCCTTGCCCGGCAGCCGCCGAAGCAGCATGGGGGGTATCAATGACGTCAAGGTAAGTCCCCAGCCGTCCTCGGCCCTGGGCAAGGAGGCGGGACAGGGAAGCCTTCCTATGCTGCCTGGCAGGGCCCCCATCTGTCCCCAGGCTGCCCCTCGGTGCTGGGAGGGAGGGACAGGGTCCTGAGCCTCGGGAGGGAGGGGACAAGTGTCTCAGGGATGCAGCCTGGTGTCCTGGGGTGGAGGGCACTGACAAAGTGCCCCTCTCCTGCCCAGGACAGAAAGGCCGGGTCCTGGGCCACCGCAGGCAGGTGAGGAGGGAGGGGACCTTCCAGAGGAGGGACAGCCTGTCCCAGGAGATGGCGCCTGCGTGCCCGGGGCTCTCACAGTGCCGGGCTCCTCTCCCCAAGTCTGGTCTCTGTCCAGGCCTTGGCCTGCTGGGGTGCCCAGGGCTGGCCTGACCCACCTCCTCCCTCCCCCACAGAAACTGATGTCCTGGGAGCAGCACCCGCCAGAGCTCTTCCCCCGGTGAGTCCCGCCATCGGGGCAGAGGGCAAGTGGGGGTGAGGGGTGATGGGGTGACCAGGATGGCCCGGAGGTGGAGCTGGGCACCCTCCCTGGCCCCAGGTGGCCGGGAGCCTGGACCCTCATGGTAGCCTCTCCCTCCACACAGGGGCACGAACCCCTTTGCCACCGTGAAGCTGCGTCCCACTGTCACCAATGACCGCTCCGCACCCATCATCCGCTGAGGGGCGCCCCTGGGGGGCCCGAGGTGGCCTGTGCACCTGCGAGGAGCTGTGTGGTGGCCGTGGTGGCAGCAGCAGCCCCCGCGGATCCCAGATGCTGGAGCCCTGACCCTGCGGGGCCTTCCCGACCCGCCCCTCAGCCCCAGGGCTCAGGACAGCGGCCTGTGGTCTGGGCGTCGCAGCACAGCAGGGGACTGAGGGACAGAGCAGCCTCTTCTCTTCCCTCAGGGGCGAGAACTCCCCCAGGGCCGCCTCCTGACCCCAGCCCTGCCCCCACTCTCCCCGTGGGGAGGAGACCCCTGTCCCCTTTCCCTTTTGTAAAGGATGAAAATAAAGGCAGTGGGCGTGGCCCAGGTGTGGTGTGTCTGACTGGTTACAGGCCGGGACCTGGGGAGGGAGGACGGAGTCCGTGGCGGTTCCTGGGAGGCCCTCACTCTGGCTCTCCCTCCCCTCATTTGAGCATTGCTCTAGGGCTGCCCTCGCCCTCAGATCCAGCCCCGTGTCCACTCCAGAAACCCAGGAAGGAGTGGGGGAGGTGGCAGTGCCCAAGTCGGGGACCACCGCCTCCGCAGCCTGGACACAGCGGCCTTTGTCCCAGCCCCCCACCCCCACGTTCCCAGGCCGGATTAGCCTTATCCAGGGGAGCCGGGAGCCCTCCTGGAATGTGGCCCGGGACTGTGGGGCAGCCAAGGGGCTGAGGTGACAGGGCTGCGGGTCTCTCCAGGACAGGCTGTGCCCCCAGAACCAGGTCCCCTGGGCAGGCTCTGTGTGACTTCCACCTGATGCCCCAAAGGTAGAAGGGGTGTCCTTGTCCATCTTTGGGCTGGGACAGGTCACCCCACCGTGGAGGCCCACCTGGCCCTGTGTTCCTGTCCCTCTCTGCTCCGTCCCCATCCTGGGCAAAAGCCTCTTAGCGCCAGGCTGGGCGGGGGCAGGGGTGGGGACGCTCTAAGCCCCTGGCGGGGGAAGGAGTCCGCAGGAGAGCTCTGGCCACTGCACCAGGAGCGCCACGCAGAGGGGGTCCGCAAGACCCATCCAGAAGCTTCCCTGCAGGCCTCGGGAGATGTGAGGCAGGCACCCGAACTCGGGCTTGGTGAGTGTGGGTGAGGCCTGCCAGGACTCTGGTCCCTGTCCTCGCAGCTATGGTGAAAGGGGACAGGTAAAGCCAAGACCTGGGGCTGGTGGAGGGCAGAGTCACAGAGCCCCTGGGGAGGGGGCCTGTCTTGCTAATGCCAGGAGGGAGGGCACAGGCACCCAGAGCCCCAGGAGAGAAGGAGGCTTGCGGGGAGCCTCTGCTGCCCCCTGGGCTGGTCCCCCCTCCTCCTCGGTCACAGGGCCCACGGGGCTGTGAAGAGACCCCCAGCTGGAGCTCCAGGGTCTCTGAGCTCTGGAGCCGTCATCCGTGGATGGAGGGTGGATGGGGAGCTGGGCTGCCGGGGTTGGAGGCAGGTCTACCTCCGGCGCCTCTCAAAGGTCCCCACTGGGCTGGCACAGTGACACGTGCCTGTCATCCCAGGGCTCGGGAAGCTGAGGCAGGAGGATCAAAGCCAACCTCAGCAACTTAGTAAGACCCCGTCTCTGAAAGGGCTGGGGATGTGGTTAAGTGCCCCTGGGTTGGCACTTAACCAACCAGAGCCTTTTGTAAAGGTTCAGAGCTTGGCACACACAAAAATATAAATAAAATCTCACCGTCCAGGGGGAGCCAGAGCCCTTCCTGACCCCGAGGTTTCCAGCTGGCCCAGCAGCCATCATGCAGGTGGGAAAACAGACCCAGTGAGGACAAGGGACCTGCCCAAGTCACAGAACAAACAGGCCTGGGCTGGACCTCAGCACCCACTTCTGAGACAAGGCTGAGGTCTGTGGTCACAGGTTCCCTGTCACGTTCTGGTGACAACAGTCATTCCTGATCATGGAGAAAAATTAACATCCCATAAACCACAGAGAAAGGTCGACCCGCTCAGGCCCTCTCTACCGCTGACACCCGTCCCACTGAGTGTTCCTTGTGTCCAGAGACTGCCACATGTACTCACTGGGGACACTGGCAGTCCCAAGCAGCCCCTGGGCACCTGCTGGCTGCCAGCCTCTCACCTCCTTCTCCTGCGTCACCAGGTCCTGAGGGGAGAGGTGCCCTCCCGGGAGCCTTCCTGAACCAAGCCTCAGGTAACCAGTGACCTCGCTCCCCGTGCAGGAGGGCAGGGCGCTTCCCCCGGTCCCTCCTGCTGCGGGGCTCCCTGGGTCTCCTCTCTGAGCCCTCCCTCCCCCTGCGGTGTGCTACAGCCTCACTTGCTCTCTCCTTTCCCAGCAGCAGCGGTGGTGATGGGTGCCGGCGGCCCCAGGCCAGGTGTGGGCCCCCCAGACGGCGGCTGGGGCTGGGTGGTGCTGGTCGCCTGCTTCGTGGTCACGGGCTTTGCTTATGGCTTTCCCAAGGCCGTGAGCGTCTTCTTCCGCGAGCTCATGCGCGACTTTGGCGCTGGCTACAGCGACACGGCCTGGGTGTCCTCCATCATGCTGGCCATGCTCTACGGAACCGGTCAGCGCCCCTCCCAGGGCCTCCCCTCCCCAGGGGCCCAGGACTGGAGGGTTGGGTTGGGAACCAGCAGACACCAGACCCCTGCAACATCCCTAACCCCCTCCTTCCCGCGGAAACCCTGCCCCAGAGGGAGGGAAGGGGACAGGAAAGGGACAGCAGGCCCGGTTGACCTGGCCAGCTCGGTCAGCTGCAGGGTGGAATGGGGGCTTTTCTGCCAAGCGACATGCACCCCGGCTAGGCGAGCCCTCTAGCCGCCCCAGCCCACCCACCTGTTTTACTATGGAAACTGAGGTGGCAGGAAGCATCCTGTCCCTGTTGTCCCAACCACCTGTGTATGGGGAGGGCGACTGGGGAGGAAGGCAGCCGCGGGATTCCAGGCTCAGTGGGGACTTGGAGTTGTGAAGATGAAAAGCGAGAGAAGCCACCCTTTCTGCCTTGGGTTCTGGGTTCTCAAGAGCCATGAGGGATGGGAGCTCTGGTTCAGGACAGAGCCTTTCCCCACCGCCCCCTCCGCCTGTCCTCGCCCGCCTGTGTGACCTGGCCAGACACTGCCCTCTCTGAGTCTCTGGACGTGTGGGACTTTTCCCTTCCAGGCTGGGAGTTTCCTAGCCTGGCTGATGTCCCCTGGGGCGGGGGGATGGGCCACCTGGCCTCGCTGGTGAACCTGCCCTGCCCACAGGCCCGGTGTCCAGCATTCTTGTGACTCGCTTTGGCTGTCGCCCGGTGATGCTGGCGGGTGGGCTTCTGGCCTCCGCGGGCATGATCTTGGCTTCCTTCGCCACGCGCCTGCTGGAGCTCTACCTGACGGCCGGGGTGCTCACAGGTGAGGGGCACTGCTCTTCTCCCCCGCCCGGTGGGGGTGCGGGTCGGGAGTCCTTCCTGTCAGACAGTCCCTCCTGTCCTTAATTTCCCCACAAAGTGCCCTGGCTCAGTTCCCCAGGGGTTTGCCCTTCCCGTCGGCCCACCTGTCCCTCCGGCCCGGCGGGGCGGGGTGCCCTGGGGAGCCGCGCCCAGCGCCACCTCGCCCGCAGGCCTGGGCCTGGCCCTCAACTTCCAGCCGTCGCTCATCATGCTGGGGCTGTACTTCGAGCGGCGGCGGCCTCTGGCCAACGGGCTGGCGGCGGCGGGCAGCCCGGTGTTCCTGTCTGCGTTGTCGCCGCTCGGCCAGCTGCTGCTCGAGCTCTTCGGCTGGCGCGGCGGCTTCCTGCTGTTCGGCGGCCTCCTGCTGCACTGCTGCGCCTGCGGAGCAGTCATGCGGCCCCCGCCCGGGCCTGGGCCCCGGCCCCGGCCACGTGCGGACCGCGAGGAGGACTGCGCGGGGGACGCCCCCAGAGAGGCGGAGGCGGATGCCGAGGGCACGAGGCTGCGGTTGCGCGAGGCGCCCCCTGGCGGCCGGACCCGCCGGCGCCTGCTGGACGTGGCCGTCTGCACGGATCGTGCCTTCATCGTGTACGTGGTCACCAAGTTCCTGATGGCGCTCGGGCTCTTCGTGCCTGCCATTCTGCTGGTGAACTACGCTAAGGACGCGGGTGTGCCTGACACTGAGGCCGCTTTCCTGCTGTCCATTGTGGGCTTTGTGGACATTGTGGCGCGGCCAGCGTGCGGAGCCCTCGCGGGTCTGGCGCGCCTGAGACCACACGTCCCCTACCTCTTCAGCCTGGCCCTACTGGCCAACGGGATTACCGATCTGAGCAGTGCGCGCGCGCGCTCCTACGGCACCCTTGTCGCCTTCTGCATTGCCTTTGGCCTCTCCTATGGCATGGTGGGTGCGCTGCAGTTCGAGGTGCTTATGGCAGCTGTGGGTGCGCCCCGCTTCCCCAGTGCGCTGGGCCTGGTGCTGCTCGTGGAGGCCGTGGCTGTGCTCATCGGACCGCCTTCTGCAGGTGCCCCCCGCAGGAGGAGGGGATGGCAAGGCTTAGTGCCACTTAGTCCCTGGGAAGCTCTCTCCCTGTCCCAAATGGAACTTTGGGGATGAGGGGAAGGGACCAATGACAGAGGCAGCTGGTGGGTGGACTCCCCTTGTGGCCAACCCCTCCCCCAAGCAGGAACCAGCTGTGAGTGGAGAAGGAAAAGCCAGGGAGGAGCCAGGAAGAAGCCAACCTGATAAGGGCCCCCAGACACGGCAAGCAGGGGTGCAAAGGCCCGGGAAGCGAGGGTGCTTATTCTCATTTTGCAGATGGGAAAACTGAGGCACTGAGGGCCAGGACAAGTTGCAGTCCCAGAGTTAGAGCCATAACCTGCCCATGCTCACTGTCCACCCCTTGAAAACAGTGTCTGAATGGCTTAGTTCCTGGGCCTGTAAGGGGGACAGCTACGATGTCTTTGGGAACCAGTCTCACGGACAGTGTGAGGGTACTTAGAGGGCAGCGGGCAGGAGGAGAGGCACCTGCGCCTTCCACTGTGCAGGCTGCTTGCAGGGCGATCTCCGTCCATCACCTGCCTTGGGCAGTCACCATGATGATGGACAGGGGTGGTGTCCTGTAGAGCCCCCTGGGGTGGGCACAGCATGAGCAGGTGCAGGGTTTGCCTTGGACCTTAGGAGTGAGGCAGGACTAAGACTGGAGAGACGGGAGTCGGGGTCACGTGTCTTCCTGGGTTGCCAGAACAGCAGGAAGGTGAGCAGGATGGGGTAGTGACAGGGATGGAGGAGGCCACTTGTGCTGGGGCCTCGGCTGCAGCTGAGTTGGGGGGAGCTGCCCATCTTCCCTCCAGGATGGGACTAGCATTGCCCTCATCAAGCTTTATTAACCTGCCGGACCCAGTGGCATTCATGGGCATCCTAAACCCAGCCCCCAGAGGCTTAGGAGCCCACCTGCCATTTCTTGTCCCTGGAGTGGTTCTAATGACCAGAGAATGCATCTCTACAGGGCTGAGTTTGGGAGGGGTGGACTGGCTAGCTGGGCAGGGACCAGGATGTTTGGAGGAAGGCTGCTCAGAGGAGCTTAGGTGGGGAAGCTGGCCTGGGGGATACCAGGGAACTTCCTGAAGGTCATAAACTTGATTGGTCAGCCACAAGAATGCTCCAGAGAGAGGGTGGGGCCCCCAGAGGAACCACGATTTAGGGGATAAATACTTGCAGTTAGAAAAATTTTCAGGTGCCAGCATCTGTGAGGTCCTGCCTGATTCAATCCCCAGTGTGCACACATGCACACATGAGCGTGCGCACGCACACGCGCACACACGCACCAGGGCAGAGGCTGAAGCCTGCTCAGTTGGGTGCTCGAGGCCCAGGGAGGGCAGGAGGCTGGAGGAGGATGAACCATGTCCCTGAAGACCAGGGGTGTATGTAGAAAGAGCAAGAGCTGGAGTCCCAGGAGAAAGGGTTAAACCAGGGCCCCTCCCCACTGCCACCTGGGCAAGTCACAGGACACTTGTACCTGGACACATGCAGTACCTTCTGTACTCTATAGCTGCCTCACCCCGAGTCCCACATTGCTTAAGAGGCCCAGGGAGAGGGAGTGACATTTCTAAAGTCTCAAGGGGCAGAACCTGTGTGGGGCTTGGTGTCTGTAGAATAGGATAAAGACAGGGGCATGTGACAGTCACCAATTTGCCCTACCACATCAGCAGCAGCTGCCTTTCACTGAGGGCGACCCGCCCAGGCCCTGACCTCCTGTCCCCACCCCCAGGCCGCCTGGTGGACGCACTCAAGAACTACGAGATCATCTTCTACCTGGCTGGCTCAGAGGTGGCCCTGGCGGGGGTCTTCATGGCTGTCGCCACCTACTGCTGCCTGCGCCGCTCTCGGGACACCCCACCTGGCCCCACCACTGGTGGGGCCAGTGACACTGAGGACGCTGAGGCGGAGGGGGAACCTGAGTCCCTGCCTTCCGGCACCCAGGAGCCCCGCAGCCTCGAGAGCCTGGAGGTGCCCAGCCCCCGGGCTGGGTCTGTGGGACAGGAGCGGGAGGCAGACCCAGGGCGGAGCCGGGAGTCTGTGTAGCACTGGGCGCGACTCCAGGCTTGACCTCTCAGAGGGCCTGGTCAGGGTGGTCCCTCCAGGGGGCAAGTTTGGGCTGCAGTTGATCCCTTGGGTATCCCAGGAATGTCCTTCCCGCTGCCGGCCTCTGTCCCTCGCCAGTGAAGCCGTGTGGACCGACAGGAACTCACATTGATAAAGCTCAGCTGAAGCACGAGTTCTGTGCCTGCACCTCCATTCGGGGTCTGGTCACCACCAAGTTGGGGGAAGGGTGGGGGTGCTGAGGGGTCTCCCCAGGGGCCCTGGCTGCTGGAGTTGGGCAGTGCCAAAGACAGATGGAGGGCCAGGGAGACGTCCCAGGCCGGGACTCGGCTGTGGCCGCGCTGTGCACTGAAGCCCGTGGGCTGCCGTCTACCTGCCTCTCCCTGTCCAGGTGGCCGGGTGTTGGCAGCACCTTAGGCTTGAGGGTGGGTGTTGCTCACAGATGGGGTCAGAGTAGCCTGAGAGAAAGAAGGTCCCGGGGTCAGCGTGGGCATTGGAAGCTGTGCTGCGGCCTGGGCCACCTCCTCACAGAGCTGAGGACAAACAGGAGAGCATGGGGCCCTACTGTCCTCTGCAAGGGGTGCACGTCCCCTCACGTCCTGAAGGCACCCTTCCTCTTGAGAACTCGTCTGTCCCCGAGGCTATTGCTCTGGACGGTGCTCCTGAGGACACTTGTGGCCTGTGGACAACCTGGTCATCACTGTCCTTGGCATCTATCTGCTTCCTCCGGAGTTTCAGTGCCGTCTTCCCTCCTGCATTTGTCCCATGTGCAGGGACCTTGTCCTGCCAGCACAGCCAGCCATGGTGGCCCTTTCCCACTGTCTGGGTGGACCTTCCTACAGGTGCTTGGCCGACCCATCCTTGATACCTGTCGTCCCCCCAGGCCACCACAGCAACACTGCACTCAACACCCCCGAGGGCTGACCTGGGGTCAAACACCTTTCCAAATGTCAACTCCTGTGATCCCCAGCCACCCGCTGAGGCCGAGGCCATCAGTGTCCACCACTGCTGCCCACACTTTGCAGTCTGGGAACTGAGGCCCAGGGTGGCAGAAGCCAAGTCTGTGGGGCAGGGTCAGTGCCCTTGGCTGCCTCTTCAGAGGTGGAGTGGCCTGTCAGCTCGGCAGGGACCCCAGGGATTCCTGGTGCAGCCCCTCTCGCTCTGTGCCCCACACCTGCCGAGAATGCCACTGGGTTTGCGCCAGGACTGAGCTCAGGTGCTCAGGAGTCACACCAGCTTCCACCTTCATCCAGGGGTCCAGCAGCCCCGCGGATATCCCTGGACGGCCCCTGGGCTGCAGTGTCCTCCTCCTCCTCCTGGTCCTCCCCATCATGAACTTGCCCTGCTGCCTCTCGCCCTCCCTCCTGTCCTCAGGACGACCATACTCACTGCCCTAATGGGGCACTTCAGTGTGAAAGGGCCACAATGTGGGTTGGACCTGGCCAGGCAAGGCAGGACTTGTGGGCCACCCTGTCCTGTCACTTTATGGAGACCCAGAGCAGAGGGTGTCATTTTCCCAACACCCCCATGGCCACGGGGAACAGGTGCACCTGATGCTAACCCCATCTCCACCACGGGGGACCTGGGGCCTGACCAACTTCTGTCCTGCCCTCCCCTCCCCCAAATAGGGGTTTACTTCATGTCCAGAAGCACCCGGGGATCGAAGACGAGGGAGGAGGTAAAGGACTCCGGAGGAAGGGAAAAGGTGACAGCCTGGGACCTGCCAGATGGTGCTCAGGTGCCACTCTGTCCCCTGGACAGTGTGGCCTCCAGCAAGATGCTTCTCTGAGCCTCATGTCCCCAGCTGCAGTGGGGACCACAGCGTGACCCCTCCTGCAGGGTGCTGCAAGGAATATGGGATCAGCAGTGACCTTGTGACCGGGAGGCAGGCGAGGCGCGAGGAGAGCCTGTGGCCATGCAAAGAGCAGGCTCCATCTGGTTTGTTTATTCGATACAGGCCCAGGCCAGCCCTGCTCCAGAAATGGCTGAGCTGGGGAAAAATAAATAAAGGCCGCCGAGGTGTGGGGGGTGGAGGGGCCAGAGGAGGGGGTGGGGGGTGGGGTGGCCAGCGGAGGGTGTGCAGGACTCGCCTGCTCCCAGCAGGCGCAGCAGGTCCTGGGTTAGATGCCACCTGCAGTCCCTCGTCCTTCTGCCCTCTCCTTCCTAAGTAAGGTCCAGAGGCCTCGCTCTCCCCGGCTGGGGAGGTGAGGGAGGGTGGGCCGGTGTCCAGGGCTGGGCCTCAGCCTGGCACCTTTCCTGGGCAGGAGCTGGGTTTGCTGTGCGAGGACAGAGGAGCAGGGAGGCAGGCGCCCGAGCCAGCAGGCTTTATGCGCCACCACGTGCACCACTGCCCAGCCCCGCTCCCGCTGCAGTCTGCCCACTGCCCTTCCCCCCTGATCTGCACCCTGGGTGCTCAGGAGTCACACCAGCTTCCGCCCTTGTCCAGGGGTCCAGCAGCTCCGCGGATATCCCTGGACGGCTCCCGGGCTGCAGTGTCCTCTTCCTCCTCCTCCTCGTCCTCGCCGTCAGTGAACTCGCCCTGGCTGAGGCCATAGGCCAGTGTGGTGTGTGCCAGGTCCACCTCGATGGGGAAGACGTCTGCATCCCGCAGCACGGAGTAGCAGTCGTTGTAGTACTTGGACATGGTGGACACGAAGCGCTGCAGCTGGAACACGATGTCCTGGACTGGGGCAGGAGGGTGGGGGACAGGCCCGGTGGCTGTGTGCCTCGTGGAGACCCGTGAGCCTGCCCCGCCACCTCCTTCCTCTGGGCACTCAGCTGGCCCCTCAGGCCCTGGGAAGGGGCAGAGGTGAGCACTGGGCAGCCCGTGTGGCGGCCTCCCAGAGGACCCGGTGTCTTGGCCCCCAGTTGAGAGAGCAGAGGCTACAGGGCATGGGGAAGGGGGGCGGGCTGCTGCCAGAGCCTGGCCCTGGGGCTCACTTAGGCACTTGACTTCTCTGGGCCTGGGATTTCCCATCTCTAAAATGGGGAGAAGCAGGCCGCCACCCTGTACAAGGGCTGTGAGAGAACAGCCCACTGCGGCCACGCGCCTCTGTGCCCCTACCGTGCTTCTGATCCAGCAGCTCCATCTTCTCCAGCACGTCCTTGCGCATCTGGGAGAAGCGGGCGCGGGCCTCCTGGCGGCAGCGCAGGATCAGGCGATACTCGTAGTTGCCGGTGCTCACTCGGTACAGGGGCTCCCCTAGGGCCTGGGGCGGGGAGCACGTTAGGGATCCTGGGTGTAATGAGGCCTGGTGGGTCGGGGTGGGGCGGGAGAGCTGCAGGGCTGACCCCCAGCTCAGCCCCACAACACAAGGCACTTTTCAGAGCCACCACAGTCCCTTGTTTGAGATGCCAGCACTCATTAGAAGCACATGGCAATAGCTTTGGAGGGAGAAAAATCCAGAAAAGACCCAAACTCGTCACATTAAATGAATGAAGACGGGTCCTAAGATTGACCCCAACAGCAAAGATATTGAATTGAGTAAATTAAAGTGCCACTCAGGAGTGAGGCTGGACAGCCTCCCTGCAGGGGCCTCACCAGCTTGGAGGTTGTGGGCGAGGAGCAGGCCTGAGGAGTGGCCCCATGGCAAGCTGGCCAGCACTCCAAGGCCCAGAGGGACTTCGCTCCAGGAACAAGAGTCCGACCAAGCCCCCAGGACTTTCCTGAGATGGCCTGACCCACCTGATGCCCCTGGCAGATCCAGGACATTCTGGGGGCTCTGAGGCAGGTGGGAGAAGGTACGTGCGCCCCAAGCCTTTCCAATACAATGGCTGGGCCCCCTCACCCCTCGATACTCACGATGCAGCTGTATTCCTCGTCGTCCATCTCCTTCACCTTCAGGCAGTACGACTGCGTGGGACAGGTGAGGCCAAGCAGTCAAGAGGCTGCAGCCTCCTGGACATCCGCCCCAACATTCCCAGCTCCGCCCATGTCACACCATGCCCCCAGGTGACCCAGGAGGCTGGCCCAGCCAAAGAACTGCAGTATGCCAGGCCTCCTGGCTCCTGCAGACCCCCGCTGGGATCAGCTGCGAAGGGAGAGGCTGGTGGCAGGTGTGTAGGAGGCCTGGGGAGGCTAAGAGCGGCTGGGCAAGGGCTCTCTTTGGAAAGGAGGGCAGGCCTGAGGACTTGAGTGGCTCAGAGTTGACCCAATTCAGGTCCCAAGGGATGCGCTGGGGGCTGGAAGCATGGTTCAGTGGTATAGCACCTGCTGGGCACCTGCAAAGCTCTGGGTAACAGCCCCAGGAATGAAGGGGAAAAAATACCCTGGGAAAAATGGTTCCCTCCAGAGATGGCACACAGGCCCAGCCTGGCTCTGGGAAGTCCCACTAACGGAGCTTGGCTTCCGAACTCTTGACCACAGAATTATTACCTAAAACCAACATTCCTTGGCACCAAGTGAAACTACCTAGACCTAGACTGTTAGGGTTTGGATGTGAAAAGCCCCCTAAAAGCTCATGTGTGAGACAATGCAAGACGGTGGGTTGAGAGGCCTTAACCCAATCAGTGAATTCATCCCCTGATGGGATTAACTGAGAGGTGGGGGAGAGCAGGTAGGTGTGGCTGGAGGAGGGGACACCGGGGGCGCGGCTTTGGGGCAGACACTTTGGATCTGGCTAGTGGAGCCTCCCTCTGCTTCCTGATCACCCCCCTCAACCAAGCTCTTCCACCACAGGGTCCTGCCTCACCGTAAGCCCCAAGGAATGGCGCCTGCTGTCTATGGTCCAAGATCTCTGAAACCGTGAGCCCTAAAATAAACCTTTCCTCCTCTGAAATTGTTCTGGCTGAGTCTTTTAGTCGCAGTGGCAAAAAAGCTGACTAAAACACTCACTCACTGTTAAAATATGATTTAAAAAAAAATTAAAAAGTCCCCCAGGGTCAGAGTGACGCGACCAGAGCTGGAGCCCCAGGCCCATTGAGGTGTCTCGGCACGGCCGGCAGGCCTGCGCTGCTCCCGGATAGCCAGAGATTCTGGAATTTCCGTGTCCCAGTCAGATGTGACGGGGCTATGTGTAGCTGGATGACACAAGGCAGGGCAGGCCTCCAGCAGGGCTCACCTGCAGGCTACTCACCAGGTACTCGAACTTCACGTCCAGGTACTTCCTGATGGTGAGGCGAGTGTCTGGGATGGCCTTGTTGAGGTACGTGTTCAGGTCTGTCAGCATCTGGGGG